TTTATTGCAAAATAATTATTTTTAAAAATTATTATTAATCAATAAACAAATATTTATTTTAGCTGTAATATGTGGTAAACCTCCAAAAATTGCAAATGCAGTGTTAATAGAAGATAACATTAAAATAAAAAATTTTACATTTGGTAATATAATTACGTATAAATGTTTACCTGGATATTTAATGTTTGGTCAATCTAATATGAAATGTCTTGCAAATGGAAAATGGTCTAGAATATATAGCAGATGTTCAAGTTAGTATTAGCATATAATATATATATATTATTTTTTTTTTTTTTGATTTGTTAATATTTATAGAACTTTCGTGTAACAAACCGAAACTCCCATTTGGTGCAACAATTCGTGGTCGTTCTTATTTGTATCAAGATCAATTGACATATGTGTGTCCTGGTGGTAAAAAATTGGGATTAATCACATGTCAGGCCGACGGATATTGGAGCGATCCACCAAATTGCAATGATAATTAACAAAAGAACATATTAATAAAAGTAATTATACATATAAATTTTAATAAACCATTATAGCAAATTTATTTGATCATTTTTTTATTAAATAACCACAATTATTAAATCTTTCAAATTTTATAATTCTATTTCGATTTACGCATAAGTATGTTTCCACAAAATAATGTTATTGTACAAGTGAAATTGTTCTACTAATGATGAATTTGAATATTATATATAATATATTTTATGTGTACTTAAATATAATTTCAGATCAAATTAAAACTAACTTTGATTAATTATTAATAACTCTTTAATACTGAACATGTATGTTTTCTTAATAAGAAAAAACAATATATTATAGCATATAATGCTTAAAAAATATTGAGAATGTTATAGAATTAATAGCAAGTTTTTTTCAATATAATACAATACATAAAAAGAAAATATAAATACATATAACAACACATTGATATATTGATAATTCATCACAAATACATATGTGATTATATAGTACACGGCTTTTTGATATAAATAGGATTTATACATGTATAAACACACTGTATCAGAATAGTTGAGGAAGAGCAATGAAAGATAAAAACATGAAAATAATTTGTTATATGAAAAATTTGAGTTATTTATATTTATCTAATATTAGTATGATAAAAACGGAGCACCTTTATGATATTTAATTTGTATTAGCATGGCTACATTAAAAGGAATTATCCTTTTTTAACAAATTTTCATTGCTCAACATTAATTTCTTAGATTTATATCTAACATATTACATAATTAACATAAAAAATTTAACGAAATATAATTTCATTCACTGAAATTTAAATGCTTATACTGGCTTTTAAAAATTTGATAAAACTAATTGTACAAAATCATTGATATATATTCATTTAGAAGGAAAAAATATAAATACTATTAATCATTTAAAAAAAAAATACCTGAAAGCTTAGCCATACTAACGTAATAATTTATCTATATTTTTGAACATTTTTCAGAGTTCTGATTTTGCACTATGAGAATATTTAGGTTTTAGTTCTTCAATTCGTTTAATAAAATCCGTTTTTTCTATGCAACCATCACATGTTTCATCCCAGTCACTTAAAATCTTCCTTAAATCACGTACTTTAAGTTTTTTCAAATCAACAGTATTAATATCAATTTGTTTTTCTAAAATTAAATAATAATATTGCATTTTAAATATTAGAAAAATAATTCAATTCAATAACATGAATATTTAAATATAAAATTAATTAAAAATAAACATACCGTATCTCAAATCACATATTTGAGAATCCTTTTTTTTCAATTTTTCACATATTTTATTTGCAGGCATGGACCAAGATATAGGTTTACTCAATTCACTTAAAATACCTGTGGCAGATTCTTCTAGTCCACCTAAATAATAACACTAAACAAGAACAAAAATTTAATTCATTTAAACATAAACTATATATTATATCATAATATATTATATTAAATATTGTTTTATTGATTTATTACATTAATTAAATAAACTACTTACAAATCTATTTTCCTTAGATTTAGTACCTTTACAAAATTCTTTAAATGCTGCTTCTATTTTTTTTGTATCTATTTTCACATCTTCACTTAAAGTATTGACAAACCTTTCCACAGTATTTATACATACTAAAATATTATGAAATTTAGAAAATCAATCAACTCAAATTAAATAAAAAATTAAAAAAAACATTAATTTACCTTCACATTCATCATTTTTCAAAGCTATGACAGTATATATTAATCCAATAACAATAGAAAGAGTTAATAACACTGAACTATTCATTTTATTTATTTTCTGTAAAATAATAATTTTTCAATTTTATATTTTTTAATTTCATAAAAGAATCTGGCATTATATAATTTAATAAAAAAAAGCTTGTATAAAGATTTATTATCAAATAAAATAGACTTTTTCTTACAAAATAATTAGATATATAAATTAAAAAAATTAATTAAATATATTTTTTCTGTTTAAATTTAATTATATAATCTTTTAAAAACAAATATTAATATAATAATACTATTTTATTTAAAAAATTTATTAATTTACGAATGAAAAAATAATAGGAATAAATAAAAAAAATAATACTATTTTTAATAGGTTAAAATATATAATAATGAAACAACTTACGTATTACTGTGCTAATAAAGTAATTTTTATATCACGTACAATATATTCTTAAGTTGTAAAATAAACACACTAAAGTTTTAATTCATTGAGTTTTTATTATAATGAAATTTTTAATTTAACTACATAAATTTAATTCACGCTTTATTTTATACACGTTGGATTCTGTCAAAAGCCCGGAATCCCAGCTGGCGCATTCTGATTGGTTCTAATATATCATGACTCACATTTAATATCGTGCTTTGTGATTGGTTGATATGAATTGTTAAAAAATAAAAAGGGGGGATTGACCGATAGAGAATATGCACATAACGCAAAAGCGAAAATAAAGAAACATATATATGCAATATGGCGCCACGCAGAGAATTTCGATTTAACCTTAATTCAATTAAAATATCAAAGAAAAATACTAAAAATTGGTACGAAAATTATTTAGATTGGAGAAAATTCATTTCCTTATTCACAGATCCAAAAAAAATATTTTTGATTGGAAGATTATTTATTATTTTGGAAATTATTGTGAATATATTAGTTATCGAAAAAGTACCATATACAGAAATCGACTGGAAAGCTTATATGCAAGAAGTTGAAGGCTTTTTAAATGGAACATTGGATTATTCAAGATTGAAAGGTGATACAGGACCATTAGTCTATCCTGCAGGATTTGTTTATATATTTTCTATATTATATTTTATTACGGATCATGGAACAAAAATAAAAATAGCACAATATTTCTTTGCAATTCTTTATATCGTGCTACTTATGTTGGTTTTCCGAATATACGCAAAAACTAAAAAAGTTCCTCCATATATTTTGATCATTATGTGTTGTACATCTTATAGAGTTCATTCTATATTTGTTTTAAGACTTTTTAATGATCCAATTGCAATGATATTGTTATTTGCTAGTCTTAATGCATTTTTAGATGATCAATGGTATTTAGGTAGTATTTTTTACAGCATGGCTGTGTCTATAAAAATGAATATTTTGTTATTTGCACCAGCACTTTTCATAGCTTATATATGTAATTTAGGAATGATCAAAACAATAATGCATTTATTTATATGTGCCTTAATTCAATTAATTTTAGGTTTTCCTTTTCTCTTTTATAATCCATTTGCATATATAAAAGGTGCTTTTAATTTTGGAAGAATTTTTGAGTTTAAATGGACTGTAAATTGGAGATTCTTACCAGAACATGTTTTTATTCATCCATATTTTCATATATCATTGTTAATCTTACATATATTAACTTTAATTTATTGTATACCAACATGGATAAAATATATGAAATCCTATGCAAAATTAAAGTATATGGAGAAAAATCTACAATCTCAACTAAAAAAGAAAGAAAAAATAGATATGTCTACAGTGAGTCAATTGTTCATTTTTCCAATATTTGCTGCAAATTTTATTGGTATGACATTTAGTAGATCATTGCATTATCAATTTTATATATGGTATTATCATACATTGCCATATATTGCATGGTGTACAGATTACAAGACTGTAATAAAATTAACTATTTTGGGCATAATAGAATTATGTTGGAACATTTATCCAAGTACCATTTTTAGCAGTATTTCATTACATATATGTCATTTGATATTATTATTTGGTTTTATGAATAAAAAATGTACTAATGAAAAAAAAAAATAAAGCTTTTGATACAATATATTTTTATACTTTCTTTTTCATTTTTCCTAATATTGATTTAATTTAAAAATTAAACACAGTTTTTATTTTCAATTTAAATTTAAAAGAAAAAAATATTTTTATTTTATTAAAATTTCATTATTGTAATTTAAATAAAATTAAATTTTAATTTAAAAAATTATTTTAATCATAATGTTAATTGCAAAACAGTAATATATATATGAATTAAAATATAAAATTTTTTTTAATAAATATGTTAATTATATTATTAATGAAAGAAAAAAAGATGTACTTATTATAAATTGCATATATGATTAATCAAATATTACAATTTCTATAATTAAACTATTTATTTTCAGATATCTTTATATATAAAAATGAAATCTTATATTTAATAAATTATGTATAGATGCATTTATTTTTTATTTAAATGCTCTAACAAAAAATAAAGTTCTAATTTTATTCAATAAGAACTTTTTATTTTGACAGAACGATGAAGACGTGATTGCATAAATTTAAAAAAAAAATAATATTTTTCATTAATAAATAATGATATTCATTACTTCTTTGAAATTAATTCATTGAAAATATTAAATTTATTTAAAAATTTTAATGAAAGACAATAAAATTCCTATTTTTATGATTGTATATTAAATCAATGTCTATAACCTATTATAAAAATACTTTTCGAAATAATCAAATTTCATAAATTTATTTATTCAAACATTTTTTTATTATATTTTATAATTAAAATAATTATGAGTACTGAAGGTATGAATTATATTTATATTTCATCTTTTATAAAAAATTAGGCATGCATAAAAACATTTACAAATAATTGTATAATATTATATTATAGAAAAATATAAAGATTTATTGTCTACGAGTATTTTTAATAAAAATTACACTGCATATAAGTCTCAATTTATAGGAATTGATGATAAACCTTATGAAACAAAATGTGTTCTATGTGATATAAAATTTATACTTCCTAAAAATGAAAAAGAATTCTTGACTCATTTATTTAAAAAGCATCGACTTGTAATAGCAGATGTTTGGAATATTGCAAGTCTGAAAAGGTTTTATTTTATTATTATTATTATTATTTAATTTATATATGAAGTAATATATTTAATTTCAGTTAATAATTAAGTTTTTATCAAAAATTTTAATGATTTTCAGCTATGTACATTATTGGAGTGTTAAATTTAAAGAAGAGCCTTTGACTAAATTCTGTACAACAATGTTAATGGATTGCACTCCAGATGGAAAACCAAGCAAAAATGAAAGATATTTTTTACTTTCTGATTGTATATCAGAAGATAAAATTTTAAGAGATGAAATACATCAAGCAAAATTGGTATTAATCATCTATAGAAGTTTTATGTAAATTTTGTTATAGATAATTATGAAATATTAATTTTAATTTTAAGGAATGGATTTTATCAGAACAAACAAGAGAAAGAACAGATACTAATTTTAAACGTGGTTGTATTTTTTGTCGAATGGAGTTTTCAGGATTACGTATTACATATATAAAACATTTAGCTCAAAAACATAATTTATATCTTGGTAAACCAGATAATTTGGTATTTATAGATGAATTTTTGGATAAAATTCAAACAACTATTGATAAGTGAGATATATAAATATATTTTATATATTATATTCATATTACTAAATAGACTATAGTATTAAACTTTTTTTTTCAGTTTGATATGCATATATTGTGAAAAATTATTTAAAGATCGAACAGTTTTAAAAGAACATATGCGAAAAAAACTACATAAAAGAATAAATCCTAATAACAAGGAATATGATAAATTTTATATAAATAATTATTTAGAACCTGGAAAATCATTAAAATCTAAACAAGTATTTTAAATATACTGCTATATTATATATATATATATATATATATATATATATAAAATATAATATAATATATTTATAATATATTAATATATAATATATAATATAATAATAATATACAATTTTGATTAAAATCGATTTTTCAATGCAGAATTCAACATAATTCGATTATATATATTATAAATATATTAATACAAATTATATTAATGAATGCTTTAATAATAAATTTCTAGAAAATGCATAAATATTTTAATTTTTTTTTTTTTATATTTAGAATAATTATAAAGTAGGAGATGAAAGTAGCGAAAATGAAGATGAAGATACATGGTCAGATTGGAAAGATGAAGATATTGGTATATCATGTTTGTTCTGTAATTACAGTGATAAGCATTTTCATCTTATTCTTGCACATATGAAAACAGAACATGATTTTGATTTTGAAATTGCATCAAAGGATTTAACATTTTATCAGAAAGTATGATATATATTATGTATATATATATAATTATAAAATGTTAAAAAAAAATTCAAATTCTTAAATTATTCTTAAAATAGGTGAAAGTAGTTAATTATATCAAAAGGCAAATTCATTTACAAAAATGTGTTTTTTGTGAAATGAAAGTAGATAATATTTTAGAACATATGAAAAAAAAAAATCATTTTAAAATACCTTCTCCAAAAACGTGGGATCAACCAGAGTTAGTATTTTATATAAAAATATAAATCATAATTCATTAAATTAGTTTTTTTTATATTAATAATACAAAATTTCAGGTTTTATTTTCCTATGCATGAGAATGAATCCTTTTTATATAATTTAGACACAAGTAGTACTAGTGATGAAGAAAATGATTTTGAAAATATTACAGAAGCAACGTATGAAACAGTAATAAAAACTAAGTATTAAAAGCTTTCCAAAATATAAAAAAATATTACAGATTTTGTTTACTGTATTAAAGGATGAATTTAGCAATAATATTATAAACATTAATTGAATTATATCTTGAAGTATCCTTTTGTAAAAAAACTAATACTTATTTATATATCTAAATATTGAATATTGAATAAGATATATAAAATTAGAGATTAGATTAGAGAAAATTAGAGATTAAGATATATAAAATTCCATTTACATTATAATATACATTATAATATTAACTGTACATTAAATAAAATAAAAATAAATAAAATATTATAGGAAAAATATAAGCATTATAAGAAAAGCAATTTTTTATATATTTTCATAACATATAAAATATATTTTCATAAACATTTTAAAATATTAGAATAAAATGCTAGAATAATAAAAATTTCTAAAATAGATAACACTAATTATCTAAGAGAATCTGAATAGTCTTAAATACTTGTAAATTAGTTTCAAAATCAAGTTTGGATTGATTCATATACTTTATGAAGATTTAGTTTAGTATTTATCAAACATTTGGGATAATAATAAAATATAATAATATTAGTAAAAACTTCGAGTAAACTTATGTTACTTATATAATTAGAAATATTAAGTTTACATACATTAACTAGGTAATTAAGTAATGTCCATTTATTCTATTTGTAATCCATAATAATCGTTAAAATATTCTAATTTTTCCGGTAGCACAAACTGAAGATATTCATGAAAACTGAGTTCTAATGCGAAATTAATTTTGTTATAAATTTCAAGTGTAAATATAAATAAAAATGAATTCTTCATTAAATGCTTTTCATTTTTTTATATTAACTTTGCATACTTCAGTTAAGAAATACTGTAATATATACATAATTTCATTATATAATAACAGGAGAAAACTCAAATTATGATATATTCAATTAAATATATTCATTTTTATATTTTTTATCAATTTAATTTTAATTATTCTAATTTCAAATAATTTATTTAATAGAAATTAAAATTTAATCATATAATAATGCAGTGTAAAAATAAAAAAAGATTATCAAACAAATATTTTTTAAACTCTTTTAATAATGGTATTAAAATTAAAGTAGTAGGCATTATAAATACTATTGCCTTTCAGAAGGCACGAATATGTGCAGAAAAATTATATCAACACTTATCATTTAAATTTTCTATACCACAAATTATAGAAATGTTTCAAGTAGAATGGCATGAATACATTCATAAATTAAAAAGAGTAATAATAAACTATTATCATTTCAATAATATATTATATTATAATAATTTAATTTATATTTTATATATATATATATATTTCTAGCAAATTGGAGGTAAAATATGGTCATTAACACATACTGTTGCTGTTTTTATAAATGATGAATATCTTGGTAATGAAGTAGAATTTTTTTATTATATAAGTCAAGATTATATCTTTAGTTTACCTTTTGAAATAGAATATTATGAAAATCTTGCTATTGAATGCTGTAAACGATTTATGGAAAAATCTAAAGTAAATTGTTTATTATTAATTAAAAAAAATTTTATTTGTTTATTTTGTTTATCATTGAATTTAATGATATAAATTGTTTACTAATATAATAATATTAAATTTTAGAAGAAATATGTTTATTTCACGTTTTCCATAAATAATTCGCCTATTGGTTCATTTTTGTTTATGGTGAGAAATTCTGTATAATTTCTATAATTTGATCTTATAGAAAATTAATCTTATAGAAAATAATCTTACAAAATAAATATATTAAATATATCATTCTAGCTATATTCTGATTTGTTACCATTAACTTGTCAACATTTTTTAAATCTTTGTACTGGATATGATGAATTGAAGGAATGTTATAAAGATGCTTATTATATAAATATGCATTTACATCGTATAGTAAAAAATGGATGGATTCAATGTGGAGGTATAATCAAATATAATTTAAATTATTCTTTACTTTGTTTAAATATTTGTCAAATATTGCTTTTTATAGGATGTGAACATACTGAAATTAATGAAAATGCAGAAAATGTTAAAATACCTGATGAGTCTTATTGTATTCCTCATGATCGCAGAGGAGTTCTTTCATTGGCAAATAATGGAAAACATTGTAATGAATCACAATTTATTGTATGTTTAAAATCAAATCCTTGGATGGATCATTTTTATGTTGCTTTTGGGTAATTATATATATATTTATATGTATAAATATATTTAAAATTATAAGTTTAAGAATTTAATTTTAAGTATTCTTATATAATTAAAATATAATGTTTATAATATTTATTGAAATGTAAATGTAAAATAATTTATGATTTGTACAAAGACAACTTATAGATGGTATTGGAACTTTAAAGAAATTAGAAAATATGTCAACATACTATGAACGTCCTATTGAACAAATAATAATTTCACAATGTGGAGAATATATTTTTGGTAATGAAATTAAAATGGAGACAGAATCAAAGATTTTCCTTGTTAGTATTATTATAAAATTAGTAAATTTATAAATATATTAATATCATTGTATTGTAGTCCAATTTAGTTTTTATTTTAGGAACATCAACCAGTATGCATGGAAGGAGAATATGTAATCAATGACAATATGTTTGATTATTATTCTATTACACCATGGTTTGATAATATTGTAGATAAGATAGATGTTCGTGATACTGCATCGCTTTTGATAGCTGAACGATATTTAAATGGCCTTTATTGTCTTGCAACTGATTATGAACCAGGTATTTATACATAAAAAATTCTATCATATATATATAAATATAAATATTTAATATATGTTATATAACTTTTTATAGGGATGGATATGCATATTTATGAAAAAATTTATTTAACTGATATGGCAAGATATGATACAATAAAAGTCAAACTTCATGATTTATTATTGAATTTTCAACCAGAAGTAATGACAGAACAAGAAAAAATAATATTTGTTTCAGAAATTTCTAAAATTATTTTAGCTTATATTTTTCGTTATGAATATAACGAAGTAAATTAATTTTAATTAAATATTAAAATTTTACTTTATTTTAATCAAAATTTATTATTATATAATAAAATATATTTATAATTTATTTAGTTTTGCCTGCAACATATTTCATTGAATAGTCATGCAACAATACATAAAATACTAAAAATTGCGCATGACATAGCATTAAAGACTATTAAAAAGGCTGAAGCAAAATCTATCATTTCTTTGGAATGTAATAGTTCAAAAATTACGAAGTACGTAATTTAATTTTTTATAATTTATTTTAAGAAATATCAGTTTTTATTCTAAATTATATTTCTATATTTTATGGTTACAGGATATTTGAAGAAAAACATGTTACTAATGTATTAGTCTCAGAAAATTGTATATCAATATTAGAAAAAATAATAAATAAAGCTATACTATGTTTAATAAGAACTTTCGAAATACAAGAATAAAAAACAAATATTTTTATTTAAATTCATTATATTTATAATAAATTTAAAATACAAATTCAAAGATATAATTAAAAATTGTATTTTTAATACAAAAAAATAATTTTTTTTATTTTTTAAAAAATTTATACGTAATTTTTCTATATTTTTTATATAATTATACACAATACATGTAAATTTTAAATATAACAAACAAATACAAATATAACAAACAATAATATAATAAACTAATATTTTGTAAAAAATGAATAATAATGAAATATTAATTTAAAATGTTACTGTTTGATTTTAGTAAACAATTTTTTCCCGCGACCTTTAGATCCAGATTTTTTACCATTTGTACTTGATTTTTCTTCAAATAGAGAAATTTTTTCATGAAATGCATTATATAACATTTGTGCTTCATTTTTATTTCCAAGTAATTCAGTAAATTCTTCCTAAAATATTAAAATATATTATTCTATATTTTTAATTTATATTCTTAATAAATTTAAATTATGATTTTATACGACATACTTTAGAAAGTTTATTAAGATGATCTAATGATTGCCCTTTACTTAGTATTAAATGTAAATTTTTAGTAGTAACTCCAGGTAATTTTGAAACAAAATCTTGAATACGAGAATTATATTTATCTACTGGTATTTCTTTATTTTCTTCAACTCCAATCTGTGCAGCTTTTATTGGATCTGGTTGATCTTTTCCCCCCTACAAATTTATATTTTTTTTTATTTATATTTTTTATTTATATTTAAGACAAAATAAATTTAAAATACTATTTAAAATCTTTAAATTTTAATTATATTACCTTTAATTCCTCAAATAATTGAGCTGTTGCATGAGGACCAGGTGACCATACAAGTTTTAAACGAGGAAAATGTAAAGTCAAAAGTTGAAGTTTTGAAGTAATGAACATATTTTGAACATCTTTACTAGCATAGTAATAACCCTATAATTAAAAATTTTTAATGAATTTCATAAAAATCTAATAAATTAGAAAATTTTAATAATTAACATTTTATGATGTATAAAAATATATGTACTTGAAAACAAAATGGTTTATTTGGATCAAATTCTATTAAAAGCATTGGTTTGTTATAATACCGTGTCATAGCAATAGCTTGATTATACAATCTTCCACTATTTAAGGAACCAATTAAATCAGAGACACTTTTTCTCTCAACGCAAATGTCTGGCGATAAAATATAATCTCCCACCTAAAAAATCTGATTGTTATTTGGAATAGTTAAAATTATATTCTTTAAATCATTTAAATATTTAAATTTTTTACTTGTAAAGTTACTGGTTCAATTTTCATGCCTCGTGTATATAGTATAGCGGGTAATTCACTTCGAAATTCTCTCATATCAACTATAACAGTATTAGGAGCTTCAGATATTTTTGGCAATCCACCTTTACGTGTATTCATTTCACTGTCTTCATCCGATTGTATTGCAAGACTTAAACAATCTTCAGTTTTTCCATCTTGATCTTCAGGAATAACCATTGTCTGAAATAAAAAAAATACATAATATAATTCATATGTATATGAGAATTCATTTGAAATATATAGTATACATACAGTTTTACTATTAATTAATGCATGAAATGCTTCTTTTTCTCGCCTTAACGAAGTAAGGTATTCTTGTTCTTCCACAGAACCTCCATAAATTAAGAAATATACCTTTAAATCTATTGATGGATTGTTATTTTGATAAACCTATTGATAAAATATAAATTTATATAGATATAAATTAACAATTAATTTTTTTTAATGTTATACATACTTCAATTTGTCGTATAGCAGACAAATCTGCTACATACATAATAATGTTACTTGGCATATGTTCTGTTAAAGCACGTTGTAATGCCATTGGATCACCATTTTTTTTTAAAGATTGTATCAGAATAATAGGCATATTTTCATTTATATTTGTTAAATCTAAATTTGCAATCTAATAATAATAATTTATATTGAATTGCATTAATTTTATATATATTATACATATAATAAAGTAATATAATATATAATAAAATTTTACTTGTGAGCATTCTTCAAATAAAGTTTGATGTTTGATTTCTTCTTTGATTAGTGAATCAGATTGATTTTCTTCTTTAACTTTTTGAGATAATGTTAATACATAAGTATCTTGTTCTTCATTATTATCTTCAATTGTAGATGTACTTTCTTTTTCCACACTTGTTTCACTTTTTTTAAAATAAAAAAAATGATAAGAATTAAAGTGTTTTTCCATATATTTATATTTATTTCTTTTGAATAAAAGATTTTATTTTTAATATACCTTATGTTTTGTATTTCTTTATGAGAAAGTTTTTTCATTGCTTCATAAAGTAAATATTCATTGGCACCCATAATTAAATAATTTCTTAGTTGATAACAAATATTACGATCATGTACCAAAATAAGGATTTTTTCAGAATTACTTTTTTTTTTATTATCATTCTGAATTTCAAGTAATACTTCTGTTAGTGCTATCCATTTTGGAGTACTTTCAGGTTTCAATTCTATATAAAAATCAATTTTTACATTATAAAATTTCGAATATATGTATCATAAATATATTAAAAATATATAATTAAAAATATAATAAATATAATACATATTTTACATATATATATTATAATCATAAATCTTTTTTAACAAGAATTCAAACGAACTCACCATTTTTTTCATTATAAACTCTTTCTTTTGCATTTTTAAATAAAGTATCTACAGAATCTAACATCAACCAACCACTATTTTTTATAGCATATTCCATAGTACGTAAGCGATTTAACATTGAATAAAATGACACACTATCTTCATATGTTAAAGATCTTAAAAAATTATATTTTTATTTTTTTGTGTAGAAAATAAATTATTTATATTTACTTTTTGATTTCTGAAATACTTACGCAAGAAGAGCACGTAATGTTTTTAAATCAGATAACAATTGCTTTGAAGTAGAACTAAGTTGATGCCAAATAGGATCTAATTGCAACTGTAATTGCTTATGAAACTTTTTTGTTATTGCATTTTCAACATTTAAATCATCTAAATCTAACTATAAAAATAAGATGTAAATGAATTTTTATCTTTTTTTTTTTTAATTGAACATTTTTTTTTTAATAAAACATACTCACATATTTATTAAGTCTTTTTAATTCTTTTACAATATAATTCATTATATCAAGTAAAGAAATTTGAATGTTTAACATTTTAGGTGTAATTTTTACATGTAGTTCGATAACATCAGGCTAAAAAATTTGTTGACATAATTCTTTATAGTATAATTTATAATATATTATAATTTTAATAATTTTGAAATGTTATTACCTTATGTGTTTCTAAACTACTATTTATAAGAGTATGAAAACGTGGCCATAAATATAATTTTTTAACGAACAAAGCTTTCATTACTCGTTCTACTTGCATAAATCCAACAGTAAATGCCAATGCTGAATTAGTGAAGGCTTTAATAAAACCAGTCTATAAGAATTTATAAAAAAAAAGAAATATTTTTTGTAATAAGAATTCATTTTTATTTTATTTTATATTTTTTTTATATTTACTTTATTATTTTGTCTATATAAACGAAGAGCAAATGCTTCTTGATATGAATTTAAAATATTATGTGCTCTATATACAAGAATTCCAGTAACTAAATGTAATGGAATTCTTTTTTTTAATAAATCTACTACAAGAATTGGACCTGACATAAATAATACACCACCTTCCAGATACATTATTTCCCTACAAATATTAAGAAATAATAAAACAAAAATTATATTAAAATGTGAAAATTTTGATCCAAACAGAAAATATTGTATACCTTTCATCAGAAGAACATTCAGAAGTTACAACACGAGGTAATTGTTTTAATCCATAATTTTTTAAAAGATCAATAAAATATTGTTCATCGTGATTTGTAGTTCCTAAAACTATAATTAAGTTTCCAGGATCTATATAAGCTCTTAATATATTTGCAAATATTGTTTCTATACCAAGTCCCCTAAAATATAAGAAATATAAATAAAATATTATTTTATATGTATAATACATAAATAATACAATAATTACTTTGCTATAATAACTAATCCATCTTCATGGAGTATTTCCAAAAATATTTGGTTTTCATATTCCAACATGATTAATTAAAGAAATTATTATATCATTATATTAAAACACATATATTAAAATAATATATGAAAAAGTAAATCTAACAAATACCAAGTAATATATGCAGAGAATGATGATTCTTGTTCCTGAAATAATAAAATTAATTATATCAAAAGTTATATAAAAAATTATATATGAATTATTGTTTTTAATATTTTTGTATTTTAATATATACCTTATTATTATAAATTTCTGAATCTTTATTATATGATATATTTTCTGTATCTATTGTTTGATATACTAAAAGAATGTATTTACTATTTTCATGTGATGGATGTCCATAAATTCCTATACTAACTGGTCTTTTAAAACTTGAAAAAAATATTGTTATTAAGATTTAAATATAGATTAATTTTTTTATAGAAATTTATGTTTAATGTACCTATCTGGAATAAGAATAGTATCTTCTCCACATGTAGCAGATTGAAGACAATATTGATCTGGTTCATAAGTTGGTTTTGTTATTGTTTGTGAAGCATATAAATCTGCATCTCCAGTGCTATGAAGTATAAAATAAAATTAAAAATTATATCAATAAAAAATTATATTTCTTTTTTTTATTTATAATTAGATTTTATACAAGATATAAATGATTAATTAATATTATATTATTTTAATAATTTACTTACTCAGATTTTAATATTATTTTAATAAAACCTTCATAAGCTAAACTATAATATTTGTATGAACCTCCTGGAACTTCATCAATTATATAATGTAATAATTTATCTTCATGTGATAATACATAGGATATTTGCTAAAATAAAATAATTTGTTATTTTAAAGAATTCCAAATTATATATATATATAAACAAACATGCTTACCAAAATAAGAAAAATAAAAATATTCCTCATAGTATAATGAATTTTAACATGATCAACATGCAATAAGCTTTATATTAATCTGTAAAAATTTTATGAACATTTTTTTTAAATAATTTTTTTCACATATAATATTTGTATAAAATTAAAGATAATAGTTAATAAAATTATAATTTATAATTTTATAAAATATATATAGATAATATAGATTTTATAAAATCACATAATATATATAATTATATTAAAAAAATTATAATTTATATATTTTAAATATTTTAAATTAATATTCTTTTGTAAATTTTACTTTATATACCTTTGGTTTTGTAAAAGATATTTGAGGTTAATATATTTCAAAATGATTTTTTCTAAATATTAATATTTCTTATAAAAATAACATTATGTATATCTTTCTAAATAAATTATAGAATATTTTGTAAATGATAAAAAATTTATTTATGTTATGTACACAATTTTGTAATTAAAATTTCATAAAATTACATTTATCAAATAAAGTTGCAGATGTCACTTATAATATTCACGTAAGTGAATTTTTTTTATTTAAATTTAAATAATAACATATGCTATTTAAATTTACTTAAATTAAACTATGCATATATTGATAGTCATATATATTTTTCATTATTTTTATTTTTCTTTTTTCTAAAAAAATATAATTTGCTTTTATATATTAAACAATTATATATTAAACAAAATAATTGCAAATATTTTTATATATTAATAATATATTTTTTTATATTTCTTATAAGATATAAAGTTAAAAACAAACATTGATATACAATATAAGATATAAAAAAAAAAAATTTTTGTTTAAAATTAAATAAGTTAGTGTAATTTTTATCCAATATAATATTTATAACTTTAAAAGTTTTAGATTGTTTTATAAAAAAATAATTTTCTTATATTTAAAAATTTGTTAGTTGACATCTAGCAATTCTAGATATATCAACATAGAAATTAATACATTCAAGATTAAATTAATATATTAAATTAATAATTACAAATTTTTTTTAAATAATTTTATAAAGAATTAAAAATATGTAATAAAAATGCAATCTGTATATATATATATATATAATAAATTTTTGCTATGATACGTATCAAAGCATTCTTTTAAAAATTCCTTGCTATTTATACTAGGTACTCTTTGTAATCAAACATGATATCCGGTACATCATTATTAGGAAATGAGGTTAATAATTATTACTTTATATTACTTTGTAATATTAAATATTATTACTTTATAAAAATCACTAATTTTAATTAATTTAAAAAAAATGATTCGTTTATTTAAATAAAAAAAAATATATTGTGTTTTCTAATGAAATTCTTCTTCCTTATAAATTTTTCTTATTATTTAAATATATATATATATATATATACTATCGATATAGTTTTTATGTTATTTAAAAGTAAAAATAATTGTGAAATATAATAATAATAACATTGATGAATAACATGAATAATTATACAATGATAAATAAAATTTTATAATTTATTATTGTATCAATCAAAAAATTAAATAATAATCTTACTTAATATGATTAATTTCGATCCTATTTACCAAGTGAAATAAGTTGTACTATTTTCATGGTGGAAAAAATTTATATTTTATATACATTTTCTATTGCATAAATAATATGTTATAGAAGATATTAAAAGATTGTTATCATATATATGTTTTTTGTTACTAATAGTCCGTCATACAAATACAACGCGGTTACTTCAATTTTGCCAATGCAATAGGATCGGCCGGTATATACTTTTTCCTACATCGATATAAGCTACCAGACCGGTAATAGTCTCTCTTTCTCACAGGGTGTAAACAGGCCTATGACGAGTCTGCAGGAAGGAAAAAGAGGGGGTGAGGTAACGCGAGTGAGAGTGTCGACTAAGGACTCCTGGGTAGTGATGTGTATGGCGCCTTATTATATAGCGATGGGAGCAATATCCTCTTGATCCATTTTCAATACTTTGATGATTTAAAATCAATTATGAATATAAATAATAATATTTTATAATAATAATAATAATATTTTAGGAATTCTTCATATCTTAATAAATCACCTGAGAATCATATTATTATATTTAAGTTATTTTGTAATTTAAAAGTCAATTTATTAAAAAATATAATTATATAACAGATATATAAATAAATGTATATATTATACACATAGCGATATATATATAATAGCAAATAAAGCTATTTTGATAATTATATGTATAATAGTTATTTAATTTATCTATCATACACTGAATATTATAACTGTTTCAGATTCTTACTAAATATTATTAATAATATATATATTTAAATTTTACAAAGAATAAGATTTAGTTATCGAATACCTTGGAAATACAAATTCCTCCTGGATCAACCCTATTACTAGGTAGTATGCATGTGTGTACGAATAAAGAAACTTAGGTACACGATGAATCGAGCCTAAGTATGCTGGAGTGGGGACAAGAGGGAAGGGAGAATGGCGGAGGGTCAAAAAATGTGTAGGTGCGCGCGCAGCTGCTTTGTCTCTGTGTCGTTGTATGGTGGGGAGTTGGCCGGACCACGAGGGGCCACAGGGGTCCGTGAGCGGACCATGGCGGACCAAAGGCGACTGCATCCTTTCAGTCGGCCGCTGAACCCGCGCGCCGTGCGGTTGATCGTGTGTGTATTGCACTTGACTTCGATTTATCGTGTAATATTCTTTTTTTATTCTCTACCGCAGGACTACGCGTGTGAGGTTTTTCTATTTGCCGGTTATCCATCCATATCTAAGGTAACCAGACAAAGAGAAACGACAAAACTTCGTTTCAAAGATCTTTCCTGATAAACAGGATCACGGACACACGCTTACGGATTTTTTGGTGTACATCTCTAGATTGTTTTCGTGCGCGGGCGTAACGCCGACGTGAAGTTCTTCTGCATGGTAAGTATTAAAAGTTTCTTATTTTATAAAATTTATCACATACGAATATATTGTATTTCTTTTATCGGTTTCGAAATGTCATAATTTCTTATTTGCTAAAAAGAATATATAGTCCTTGCCGCGCGTTTCTTTTGTCTTTATAAAAGGATATTTCATTTTGCTTAGAAAATTCAATTCAATTAGATATTGTCAACGAATTCGTTTAAAAGAAAAAAAACGAACATTGGGTAAGGTTTTCACACGTGTATGCAAGTATATAGCTTCGGGATATGATAAAGTGACGTAATGATGAGGGAAAAAGAGAATTCGAGGTAGGTTAGGATTTCGATTGAAAAACACTATACTGTTTTTACCGCGAAGATACTGCATATTTCTGATATCGATATTTGTTATAAGAATATAACATAACGAAAATAACAAAAATAATATTAAGATGAAACAATATCGTATATTCTTTGTTTCATTTTTTGTTCTGTATATACTTATTATATACTTTTAGTTCATTATAATACGTAATATAGTTCATAAATACGTAAAAATAGATCAGTTTTACAATACAGTTTTACATAAAAGTAATTAAAGAAAATAATTAAAAATATAAACTCCGAAAAAATATTAAATAATTTTATATAATTTACTAACAGAAAATAGAGGGAAAAAATCATACTACACAAAAGAATAAAAAAATAAAATGCAAACTAAACGACTTATAAAAAAAGATATCTGTTTCAAACTAACATATGTATTTAATAAGGGTTTTGTTTTTGTTATTGCTATGTAACTGTGTGACTTTATATATGCACTACCGAAGTGAATATTGTTATACATATATTTGAAAGATGGATATACAATTAGTGCGTTTGCGTGTATGCATAATATATTGGTAGTGCTTTTAGCAACAAAAGAGTATGAAATGTGCATAATTATATCATATAATCGTAAGGTACTTGGCATAGTATTCGAAATGTGTCTTCAATGCAATGAATATCCGTTTTTTTATCTGCTTATTCATGTTATTTTCTATAGACAAAAATTATATAAAAAAAATCTTTTTTCGTTGATTATATGGTGAAGACATAATTTGAAACTTGAAAGAAATTATAAATTATATTTAATTTTAGTTACCAACAAGAATATTGAGATTTTATTGATAAATTAAATATGAAATATTGGAATACTTTCGATAAAAAAGAATATATTATTTTTTTTTACGATTGTATTAAAAATTATAGATATTTTTATTATAAAGTAATAAAAATTATAGAATTTTATGAAAAGTTAATAAAGTTAATAAAATTGATAAAACATTTTCATTAATATTAAATACATGATAAACATTCAATTATTTCATGTCTTCATTTATCTCTATAATTTTATTCGGAAGAGCAAATGATCACTATAGTGAATTTTCAGGAAAAAATTCTCGTTAGTTAGGAAACTAAATGATTATATTTGATTGTATTCATCTCGTGTATTTTTATATTGGCATTTTGTTAATTTCAAAATGTAATTAAAAAAATAAAAAACAATTTTCAATAATTTTATTCATATAGACACTCATATAGAGTCGATTTAATCTCGTGATAGTCACAATTGTACATTAGATGTAAAAAATGAATTTTATCGTGATTTAGTTCTTTTTTTTTTTAATGGGCCGCAGAAAAAATTTAAAGATATAATAAAAAAAAATATAATAAAAAAATAAAAAAAAGAGAAAAAGATAATTATAAATTATCGAGTCTTAAATTTTTAATCAAAAAATGTTCGTAATGGAATAATTATATATTTTCTTAATGAATTATTATTTGAAAAAAATCGTAAGATCTTTATTATTGATAAATTGATATAAATATAAAAAAATATAATTATAAAAATTAAGATAATTTGAATAATAATTTAAAAAATTATTTAATAAATGTTTTTATTTAAGAAAAATACAATAAATTTCATGTAATAATGAAAATGTTAATAAATTTTTATTGTTTTTATTTGAATGAGAATACTTGGAGTAATTTTAAATATTCTTTTCAATTTTATTTTAATAAAATATTATTGTAATTATTTGAATATTATCGATTTCTGATTTTATTACGAAAAAAAAACAAATAAAAATGTTTGAATAGTACAGATTTTTAGTAGTGTACATAAATTCTTTTTTAAATTATTTAATGAAAGAAATAAACAATGATAAAATGCTATGCAACTATTTATTTATATTTTAAAGTACTAATATATTTGTATGAATAAACAGAATACAGATACAATCTTGAATTTAAATGTAATTTGAATAGAAAAAATAGAAAAATATTTTTATTAACTAATATTTATTTGAATATCGATTTATCTCTTTAATTTTTTCACTTTCCTCCATAACACTTTTTATTCTTTTCTTTTTTTTTTTTTTTTGCGTGTTTTAAACTTAATTTTAATAGAATAAAAATTATATTTACAATAGAATACAATAATAAAGATTTTTATTATTAATAAGAAAATAAATTAAATAATATAAAATATCGTCATTCACTCTTATGAAAAGATTTGATAGAATTAATTTTCAGTTGTCATATATAAGAATATTAATTGCGAGTAATAGAAGGGCACGAATGATACACGCGATCTAAATTTAATGAAACTGCTCTCGAACGAGAAGGATCTTGGAAGATCTCGATAGTGGTCCGGAGTTTGATCTCAGGGCTAGCCATGAACAGCAACTCTCGAGTTGTGCCAACTCTCCAACACTAGTGTCGCAGTACGACAATCGATCTCTCGGCTAGAACACGTATACGGAACGCATTTTCAGGTCTCGTTAATCTTATCCATTGCATTCGATGGATCGGTAAATTTCTACATCATTTTACATGGGGGTAAAAACGAATAATTGGTGTTATTAAGGAGATTTAGTGAAGCTGATAAGTAAAAGAAGAGGGTTGAGCAAACAATCGAACCTTCTAATATTATATGTCTAATATAGACTATTAATACAATAAAATATAATATTATTTCTTTTTCTTCTTCCTAAATATAATCTATAATTCTCATTTTTCTATCATTTATTGAAATTAAATCATAAGAAAATCCCATTTATTAGGTTCATAGTACTATAAAGAGATTTTATCAATAAATTGAGATAGAAACAACTTTTACTTTGATGTTTCTCACGATAAAAATAATTGATTTCACAAAGATATGAAAGATTTAAAGATTCATCTTAACCGATAATTCTCAACTTTTTCATAACATTTTTCATACATACCATTAGAATTCAGAGATTCCAATATCATTAAAGTATCTTGTATCTTAGAGATTTTGTAAGAATTAAGTTTGAAGATCCTTTTTTTCCCCTTAAAAAATTAATTTTCTTCATCTAGTATTTAATTGAAAAAAATATCATTATATTGATTGTTATTAAAATTTCCATTTTTTTTTTTTTGAATCATAGGATTTGCAAGGGTGACTGCACCGATGACCTTATTTCCCGCCATCTCAGTTTTATGACTTTTCCTGTGTATACATAAGATATACGGAGAATTACGATCGGTTGGGTACTTTACTACTTTCAGGATTGTGCACGCTGATAAAAGACAAAGCCAATATTTAGATTCGTTATCGATTGAACCTTAAAACTTGCAGGATTCATAATCAGACCAACGCCATGGCTTGTTTTTCGATCAGTTTTCTTATGCTCGAGCACGATCCTATTGAATCTTTCGAAAATTTTTCACCAAATAATAAATTTCGATCGTATTCGCATTTTTCACAATTGTATTTATTTATTGTATAGATAAGAAAATGCTGAAGATGTATTTTAGATTAAAATATTATAAATAATTTATCCTCCAATCATCTAATAGCCAATATTTTGTTGGATGACCAACTACCATCACCTTTGAACTGCAGAGAAAGTGGAAAGACAAGAGATCCTGTAAATCGTGTTATCTATATCAATAACAAATTATGAAAAATATTTATTTAGTAGTTAGTTAAATAAATACTAAAAATATTAAATATGAATTTAATATTTCAATTCTAAAGATTGTTCAATTTCAAATTTACAGTAGAAAATAAAAAAAGAAATAATAAACTTGAGTACAATGAATCTTTTTATCATTTACATCCCTTTTTTTTCTAAATATTTCATATATTTCTTTCTAATATAATCACGTACATTATTGTACATTATTCTGAATATATATTAATATCTATTTTGCTAATTTTAATCAAAAGTGCATTTTTATTCTTGTTACATTTAATATTGTTCACAATTAAAATATTACCAAGAATTCAGAGAAGTAACGATGTAAAATGCAGGACTTCTTTTTGATCGAGAAGTTTATCTTCTTCCTCAGACTTGTTTTTCAACTTTCAACCATGTATTTTTTCTTTTTTTCTTCCTACCAGTGGTTCGTGTCAAGTCCTGCAACACTTTGCAAAAATAAATTATGTTCGTAACGCAACGCGACTAGATCTTAAATCTTCGAAACCGGCCTTAAATCTCGATCGTCCCACATGTTTTGTTGTGTTCGTATATGTAGATGCCCACGGAGGACCGGAACATGAACGAAAACTGGTGCTCGAATGAAAAAGGAATCAGTCGTTGGACAGGTCAGAAAAATTCGTCTCTTTGAATAATTTATTCGGATTAAAAACGAAAATACTGGCGATATTCAAATTAACGTGAAAAAAAAGCTGACACATCTCTTTATATTCATAAAGAAATTAGCTCGGAGAAGAATGCTGCGAATGAAAAGATTTATTTTTAAATTAATTGTTATTTTTATTATTTTAGTATTATTTTTATAATATAATACTATAAAAATCATATAGATTTTTTATTCTTTTTATATATATAATTGATATTCTTTGTTAATGTTATCAGAGAGTTATTTAGAATTGTTTCATTTAGTTATCATCTATTTTTAATTTCTATAATTCTCCTCTTATTAACTTAAAAGACAACAATTTCATTATTATTAAAATATTATTAAAATACTGTAGAATATATTTTTATTAATTGAAGATTAATTTTTATATTAATCTTTAGTTTCTTTTATATAAATTATATGATACAAATGGAAAATATTTTAAATTCAGACATACAAAGGATAATCTGATAAATCTTTTAAAGAAATAAAAAAAGAAGAGCAGATGAAGAGAAATAAATTACAAAGATATTTCGTATTCAGAAGGAAACAAATGGGGAAAGTCGACGGGCCTGTTCCATCTCGGATTTGTCAAGCCACAATACGTTGGCCCTTGCATTCAGCTTTGTGTGGGTCTTTAATTGGCCATATTTTTAACTCCGAGCTGGGACTGGCTCACAGCGATAATTTTTTCTTTCGTTCCCTGCACTTACTACGCATTTCTGTTTCTTCATCGTGAAATTTACTGCCTCGCCTTGCATGCTTAAGTTCATAATAAACTGCGAAACAGCTGGAAATTTGTATAAATGGAAATCGATAGAAAAATATCTCGAGATAATATTAATTTTTTTTCTAAATTTGCATATTTTTTTTTCTTCTTTTTTTGTATTATGATTAATCTTAAGAAATCTCATAATTTAAAAGATTTTTTAAGATTAGATCATAATACAAAAAAAAGAAAAGATCGTTTTTCCAATCAATATTTTTATTAATTATTTTATAATTAGGCAATATAGAAGAATTCAATTCATTTTAAATATTAGATAATTGTACACAATTTTTTTATAATTATTCTATAGTATCATTTCTGGGTCATTCCTATACTTAAAAGAAATCATTCACGGAGATCAAGCTCGATATAACAAAGAGAAAGAAAAGAGAAATGAAAATAGCAGAAAACCGTGTTTGTCATTGAAAAGGTATAGGAACTGTGCCAAAAATTCTGAAACGGCGTGGCGTCTACTTAACCGCAGGCAGACAAGAGGGGCATTGTTCCCGCTTCGGTGAAATCAGTTCCGAGTACCGGTGTATCATTGTCAATTGTAAGAGGGTTTCTTTTTCGCATGAATCCACCAGTACAGAAATCCATCTCCTATGATTTATCCCAGTTTCTCGTTAATCGTCAACCAGCCTGATAAAAATCCTTGCCAAATATTTCAATATATACTTCGTTTCGATTTATTTGTCCGTACACCTGCATCCCTTTCATCTTATACTATCGATGCGCGTCGCTTCTATATGACGTCATATAGTGGAGTCAATGACAGCTAGGAATCCTATTGGATCGATGGTGTACGTATGGCGTTTATACGTCTCGTTGTTTCGTACCCTCGCAACACGAGGAATCAGAACAGGATCGACACGATGGTAAATGGAGGGAAAGATGCATGGTTGAGTAGTGGTGGGAGGACGAAGCGGGATATTGTCGAGGCGTAACAGATCAGAGTGAAAGTTGAAGCACGACTCGTAAGGAACGGAACGGCGGCTGCTCATCGACTCTTTCGTCTCTTTCTCTTTCGTTTGTTCTTTCCTCATTGCGATGTACAATGGAAGAAGAAGGGAAGAAGAGCCGGAATCACGAGTTGAACCGGAGCCCGAAACGATCGTGTGCATGCTTCGTGCCTTTGACTTCTCTCGACGCAACGATTACGCGATTATATCACGGCGTGTCCCGTTTCTTTTAAAAAGGAAAACCTCCCCCTTCCCTCTGGCCCTCCCTAGTCTGTATGCAATATCGAGAGCTTGTCTTTCTCGTTCTCTTTCTATGGCTCGCTCTTTTAGCTCGCTTTCTCTCTCTCTCTCTCTCTCTCCCCCCTCTCTCTCTCCCTCAATCGACGTTACATCCTTTCGTCACGATTTGTGCTGACGTCCCATCGAGCGGGTAGTGTGCACTTCCGACCAACTGGTCAACCACTCCACACGCCACTTACGCACTTAGACCCGACGAAAGGGTCCTCACGGCTGTTTGAATCTATTTTTATCATCGGGATTTCTCCCCGTGTATGTCTCTCGATGGCTCTATATATGTATATCATTTCACTTTTATTATTTCAGATTCAGGATCAAGGCGTGAAACTTTGAATCTCTTTTTCATTTATGCATGTGTTAAATGAATTAATTCAACTTTGATCTTGATTTAATATAGACAAGAATTTTTGTATAGAAATCTTTCAAGTGATATTAATCAGAAATATCATTTCTTATCTTCAGTTTCAATAATTAAATAAATTTTTTACAATACATATTGTAAGATAGTAGAAATGTTATTTTTATTCTTCGAAAAATCATATTTTAAACAGGAAAACCTAAAAATTCAAAATTTGAATATAATAATATAATCAAATTAACACTAATAAAAAAAAATTTCATAAAATTTGATAAATTAAAAATATTTATAAGAAGACTATTAATAAAGAAATGACCTTAACCTCAATTTTTGCGTTGAAAAAAGAAAGAAAAAGAAAAGGATATTTAAATGAAAGCAAAGCATCCGGAAGCATAGCTAAATGTTTAGTAAAGAATCAAATTTCACAACGTATATAATTGCTGAATCAGAAATTGTACAGCTGTTAAAGTCAATGACTCACTATAACTACATTCAAATTTGACAGTGACGCGACGCTGGTTTCGTCTATACCAAATTGGATCCATTTATAGACTAGGGAAAAGACAAGATTTATTCGAACGTTTTCAAGATGTCGTGAATTTTGTGTTTGAACAGATGTCACATAGGCGATGTAAAATATTAGGTAGAAATATTTTTATCCTCTCAAAATCAAGTAACCATGAATCATTCATGCATGTATATCTTGCAAATTGATTAAAATTTAAAAAATTAATTAATATGGTAACTTAATTTATGATATAACTATTTATAGTAAATTATTTATAGTAAATAATTTATAGTAAATTATTTTTACATATACGATGTTCAGTTATTCTATAAAAAATTATATTCAAAAGTTTATTAAAAAAATGAATTTAATAATAAATTAATATTATTTTTTCAAATAATAAATATTAAATTATTAAAAATGTATAGATACTTTTTAAAAAATTAATACTAATTTTGTCAAACAGAATTATTTTTATAGAATAAAGATTTTAATTTTAATTGTATATGTAAGTAGTTATATTATTGAAAAAATTTAAAAGATGAAAGATAAAATATAATTTTAAAAAATATATCAATTGATAATATAAAAGAAATATAATTTCTTTTGAGAAAATAAAGATATATACATAACCTTGTTTTTGAAGTCTTTACTTCCGGAACAAATACGTGCTATTCAAAACCATCTCAGTTTAATTGATGTATCGAAGTTTAAATTTTTTTCAAACATATTTTTAAATATATCTTTCGAAAATTTTTCATAAATAATTATGTGAATAAATATAACTCTCCAAAACTTTGTGATTTTTTTGAAAGTCGCGTCCTATAAATTAAAAATTCATAATTTAATTTAATATTGTTTAATATTTAATAATGCAATTTCATACATTACCATAGACAATACGTATAACGAAACAAAAATAGCAACATCAAACGCATTTCTAGAGAAAGGGATAGTGTTTTATTTTATTACGGGAACACGGAACATTTAATCGTATAAAAGTTCTCATAAGTAAGTCGTGTTGCAGAGTGAAACAATGGTTGGTATTCGGAACGCGTGCATTTATTTAAATCGCGGAGAGCAAGTGTTGCTCCTTACGTACGGTCTGCGCAGTGAAGAGGTTAAATATATCTGGCCTGGCCTAACCGTTCCTTCTATCCTCATTCCTTTCGAATGGTCAACTCACTGCTATGGTACGACGTACATACTCGTATCGAAATGGATTTTGGTGTGTACGTACTTCGATTTACAACTGAAATTCGTGTTGCTCCACGAATAAAACGTCGACGAAGAATACACGGATGATCATTTGATTGGATGCACAGTCGTTAAAACATCAACTATTTTCTTTTTGGAAGATTATAGTAATAAAGTTTCTTTGATTCCTTCACAATTTTTCGTGTTACGATTATAACTTTCTGTCAAGCGGCCATTTGTAAATATTTCTCTCTCTAATATCGACTGCTCGATTGAGATTAAAGAGGAATTGTATCGATTCTGATCGATTCTCGAGAAAAGAGCTACGCGATATCTCGCGTCACTGTTTGGAGTGAAGTTGGCAATAATCGAATTGACGAAAGTGTGAATCGATTGTGAAATTTCTCAATATAAGTCGATTTCTCAATATAGTATGAAAATTTATTTCGATTCACGTTTCGTATAGGTTAGTTAGTAATTAATAAGAAAATGTGAATAAATAAATCGAAAATTTGCAATAAATAATTGTTTGGAATTTGATAAGAATTATATTATTAGAATATATGAAAAAGATTGGAAATATTCAGTTAAATATTAGAAAAAAATATATTAAATATTTTATTTTAGTTAAAGTTTAATTTTCAAGTCTTGAAATGTGCAGTAATATAAACTTATCGAGTTAACCTAACTTTCCAAAAAATAAATCATGCATCGCTTGAGAGTTCAGTTTATAAATTCATTATCAGTGTAAACAAATGGTAAAATAATTAACTTGAATATTACATTCTGAATTTTTTTTTAATAAATAGATTAAAGATAATCTTATTCTCAATTTTTAGTACATGGTCTCCGAATAAAGATGCAGTATATAATCAATAAAATTGGGCGATTGATTTTTTATGAAGAAAAAATAAATAAAAAACTTGAAATGTTTTTAAATAGGATTATCGGCATTTTATAAAAATCATATTGAAAATCAAAAATGAAATATCAAATATCGAATGGAATATTCATTAAAAGAAAATACGCTTTCACTCACGAGACGATTTTAATGATATCATAAATTTCTAGGGAATTTCACTTTTCATTGCCACTGTGATCGCGTTAATCGAGATTTATTAGACGCCTTTTATAGTTAAATCTTCTCCACCGTAGCCTTTGAAAAAAATCAAAGTGATTAACGTGTATAGCATCGTTCATTAAATATCGAGTTAACCACGATGCGCTTGTCGATCGATTTAACAAGGCATAAATAAGATTAATCCGCTGATTTGACGGATGCGTTGTTAATTCGTTTAATTACCGTTTATATCACGGTATAATATGTCCTTTTGACGTTCGAATATTTAGGTTGAGAGATTACGACCAATATTTTTATGGCTGGTCAATAAACTAAGAACTGCAAGAAGAACCATTAATAGACATATAAACATATAAACATATAATGATCGTAAATTGGTTCTGATACTTCGTTCATGATATTATACATAGTTTCATTTGCAATTTCGTGCCTCGTCTTTGTCTTAATTCGAACAGATCGAGAAAATGTTTTTTTCCAAGATGAATGAATTCGTCATTGGAGAAATAGGGCCACCGATTGCTGTCGGATATCTAACCGTAAGCGTTTACAAATCGCTTGGAAGTTATTAATAAATACATGTCGATATTGTATCTTTATATAGAGAGTGTTGCAGAAGCTGAGATTTCAAATTGGAGATTGGAGACAAGTTAAATGACATGAAATATTTTCTTAAGTTACATATTCCACTATATATCTATGGATTATGTTCTCCAAGGAGAGATATCGAAGAGTTATCATTATAGTCAGTTGATGAGATTTAATATTTATGCATTCTAATTACATTCTTTCAATTTTCTTATTTTCTATCTTATTTCCAGTTGTTATTTCTACAAATTCCAATGCTTATTTATTTTAATAATTAATATATTACATGTTATGCAAAATGATCGTTTCAATTTTAAAATCGACACGTTATTTGGAATATTAATTAATGGGGACAGCTGTTATCAAGGTTCGTGGTAATACCAATTTACTATACAGATATATGCGAAACTTGTTATCGACTTAATAAACGGTGTGAACGTTGCTTTAGTAAGTAACTTCGCGTTACGCAAACGACTTGCACTTTCGTATTGCTTTTTTCTTCCCACATCTCTCGTATACGAATACACCCACTAGTGTCTGCTCACTATACATCTCACTTTCTTACTTTATAATACATTTCTCCTCGCCACTTTCCGCAAATCGACATTTGCATTACTTATACCTACGCGAAAAGTTATTCTCGGCACGACTTTCCGAGTATTGATATGTACTATCACTGATTGTACATAATAAATTTCTCAGAATTTCGCGAATATTGAATTAATCGAAAGTCTTATAAAAGTCTTATAATTGTTGTTTAATTGTCTTCAAATATATATATATATATTTTCATAAATTTTTTTCATATTTTGAAAATTTTATTTTATTTAATAGTTTTTAGTTAAGTCATAAAAAGAATTCATATATATTACACTCGGATTTGATATAAATAAAATATTTTTTTCTCTATTCTATTTAATCAACAAGATATCTCATCTTTTAATGCGATAGATAAATCTCTCCAATTCCATTTCAAGTCGGATGAATGAAAGTGCAGTTAGTAGTGAAATCAATATTCCTCTTTCTCGACCAACACACTCTTGCGTTATACCTCAATACACTTTCGTCGAATCCCGTGTCGAGGAATGGTTGATTAGAATAGCATCCGCGTTTGCCTGAAACCGCGTGAAACGCGTTTCATTAAACCATCACGATCCTCTCGTTAACCTCTCCCATAAACGATCGACGTTATCGCGCAGACCTCGAGAACGGGATTCGAGATAGGCACGAAAGAAACGGATGTCTCATCGGTTTTTTTCACAGGAAGAGGATTTTTTAACGGAAAGAAGTACAGTAACGGCTTTCCTCTTATGCTAAATATCTTCAATCTAATTTTTAAGTTACAAAAAGTTTTTCGATGAAAAAATTTCTTCCTCGATTTATTTTTTTATATATTTTAATCGAAGTAGAGATTTATATCAACAGTTACACGGAGTACTCAATACTCTGATTAATTTTTATCAATAAATAAACGAATTGTCATCTGGTAAAAGAATATTTATAATTAGATTCGAAAGAAATCGAATGATGCTTCTTTAATTTTTCCATAGAAATAAAATTTTCTAATGGAAAAAAAAATGACAATATATATATATATATATACTATTTTCGTATAACGATGTTTTTCGATCCAAGGCAGCTCTCGGTATTATTTTACGATATAATTTCGTCGATGAAGGGTTGCGTCGACACGAAGAATTTTTTTCGATTGGTATCATTTACTTCCCACGATTCCCCGCGACAGTCAGATATCTTCTATTCCCAGGTGGAAAGCTGGGAAGAGGCCAAATAAGTGCCAAGATCCGTTTCCAAAGGAGCGAGAAGCAATTCAAGTGTTGAACTCAATTTTACCATGTTCAGACTTTGAACTGACTGTACGCTATCTCTTGTTTCATTTTGGACATTTTGATAATATCGTTAATTCGCATTTCGGATCGCGTGTACGTCCTTTTTTTGCACGTCACTCGTGCACGATGGACGTGTCGAGAGTAACAAGTCTTGTTCGTTTTCTCGAATGACTGTACATTTCGCGCGAACGTGCTCGATGAAATAACAAGGAAGTAAAAGATGGAGGGATGATAATTCGTGATATAAGAGATGATGATTTTGATGAAGAAGAATAAAAAAAAAAAATTAGTAATTTATAAACAAACAGTAATGACATCTACGGAATACATTTTTTCTTTCCTTATTTATCTTCTTTCTCGTTCATTTATTTTATTTTCAATCACATTCTTCATTATATTTATTTTCGATATAATTTTGTTTTCAATTACAATATAACTGTTCAAATGTTGCAATCCTTTTACGATGTTAGCCGAATGATAATTCGTTTATTTTCGATAAAACTTGTTTTAATTTTTATCTCATTATCTCTTGCTCACCGAAGATTATCTTATTTTCTTATATTCCGAGGTAAATTTTTCTTTTATCAATGAATATAATATTACAATAATGTGGAATATAATATATACAAAAATTACATAGATTGAATTTATTTTTCATTTTCATAATGAGACTGTTTACTTACTTTGGATATTTTATATCTTTTTGATCGTATCACGCGCATAGATTTTAATTACATTTAAAATTTCCATAAATGCATAAAACATTTGCAATCTTTAATAATAAAAATACGTAATTTCACTTCTATGTTCCAATACGTTCTTTTTTTTTTTTTATCAATAATAACAGAATTCTATTTTATTGTTATGTCAGAATTGCAAATGATTCAGAGTTATAACTTTATCAAAGTAAGAAAGAGAGATGGAAAATAAGGAAAGGTGTGAGTCACTTGCAACAACCTTCGCTGGTTACCGTTAACTTTTAGCACTGATGACGCGGTATCCGTGAACACGTGAGAAAACATTCTTTTCCGCGGTGAACCACCATCGTCGGCACGTCGACCTGACTTTTTTTTCGTGGACGCGAGCCACGACTAATTTGCGCGCCTTTAATTAAATCGGCTGCATGACCGTGGACGAATCAATCAAACCTTATCGGGATAACGATGAAACCGAATTAGGGAGAATACCAGTTTCTCAGAGTGAACAGAACTGTTTGCGATTGACAGACCGATGAAATTCATTTGTTTTCTGCGTGGTATTCGTCGAAGAAAAATTGCTAATTGTATGATATTAATTGGATATATTGTGCAGGATAGGATTGTGCAGAACATTTGGAAATAGTTGATCGAATTTTGATATTATATATTCTATTCTTCTTAAAAATGAAAGATAAACTTGGATTAAGCAAATTTGGAAACTTTTATTTTCTGAGATATAATGAATATTGAATAATAGATGGAAAGATTTAATACCAGAAGAAAAATTATTATGTTGTGAAAATGAAGAAGATGAGAATTAATGCATGAGGTAAAACTTTTTAAAGAATTATATGTAATTAATTACATGTAAATATTAATTATTTTTTTTTTTTAGTACAATAAATATTTTGTTAAAATTAATCTATGGAATAATTGCAAAAAATATATGAAAAATGCTATAAATATTTGTGAAATAATAGTAATATATGATTAAAATAAAACCAAATACGAGAAATATAGAATACTATATTGAAAGTAAATTGCAAATTGAATTGATCATTGTTTCTAAAATCGTTCTAGATGCAACTAGTTAAAGCAATAAGACTCTGAAGGAAATAGTCTCCGTCTTGGGTTGAATTTTGGAACTATTCAACTTTCCTAAATTAGTTCTTTCCAAAGTAGTAAAAAGATACTTTATACCGAGCAAGTTTTCATTATATCATTTTGATCAATAAAAATGAGAAAGAGAATTCATTAAAATAAATATAGTACTAATAATGACAAATAAGATTTTAAACATTTTATCTTGAATTTTATCATCAGTCTCAACTTCAGTGATACAATTCTTATCAAGTTAACCTGATACTTAATTTCTCTATTATAGCAAGATACTCTTAACATATCTTACAAAAAATAAATTGTGCAATTTGTGTACATAGTTTACTTCAATTTACAAACATAATACAAACAAATATTAACTTAATAGTTAAATAATTTAAATATTTCATTTCAAATCTTTAAGATTAAAAATAATTTCAATCTCATTATTTGAAAAATATTCGATTTATTAAAAAATTCATTACAAATAAGAAGAAAAGGAATGATAAAACATTATTATTTTTCAAAAAAACTTTACTTGTTTCAAATTCATTCAATTTTACATTTTTTCAATGCTCTCAGAATAATTTTGATCAGAAAAATGAACTTAACTTATTATAAAAGAAAACTCAAAGAAAGAAATAAAAAAAATACCAAAAAATTCAAAATGCAAGATTGTAAATAATAATAATACACGAGCATTCCTTAGAGAGGAAGCTATCTTGCATCCAATGTGCGTGTCATAATCAGGAAGAGTAACGCCTTGTATTGACAATCGTTGAGGCTACTACGGAGGAATAAATTGCGTAGGACGTGAGACACTCGTGGAAATAATTGAGTGCATGTCGCTGGGCTTGATGAGCAATTACGAGGATCTCCGTAAATGAGTCGTTCCCCATAAAAATGTTTCTCTCGTGGCCGGTTCAGTTCCAGAAGAAAAGATTGAACAAAAGAGATGAAGATCGAAGATAGAAGGAGAAGATAGAAGATATTCAAGAGATGATGTTATCTTAACATCCAAAAAGAAAAGAGTAGGAATGAAATAAAAGAAGGAAAAAAAAGATCAAGGAAGAAAAGAGAAAAGATAAAGGCAATGAAGAAAATATAAAAGATAAGAGAAAGCAAGAAAAGAAAAGATAGGAAGATAAAGAAAAGGAGGAGAATTGAAAAGAAAAAGATATTAGCACAGCGTCGTATCGTGTATCACGCTGGTTGACGCTGAACGAAACCAGAAGAAATTACATGATCGTTTCACTTTCGCACGCGGAAGCCAATCTTGACGACGCGACACGGCGTCGCGACGTCCATGAACAAGAATACGCGACCGAAACAGCACGGATCAGTTAACGGTAATGTTCGTTCATGCTGTTTCATCATGACGTTGAGAAGTTGTGAATATCTTTTAATGAGAAATTTTTTGTACATCTTTTTTTACTTTTATATTTTTTTGAAGTTTGTTCAAGCATGAAGTGTGCTGGGATTTTATTTTTTGAATATTATTTAACCTTTTCACTGAAGTAACATTTAAGTTAAAATTTAAATTAAAGATTGAGATGAGATGATTGTTTGAATGTGTGATTTTATTTAAATTGAATTATATAAATTGAGTTAATCTCTCACGTTTCGTTGCATCATGAAATTAATCATTTATTGTATATAAATTATATTCATTGCGATAAAAAATAAGTGAATATTATTACTCAATAGTAATAGTATGTGTTCCTTTTTTTTTTTTTTAAGTTGAAATAGTTTCTAATATATCTAAACATATAATGCTTTTTATCAACTAAATAGATAAAATTTTCACTTTCAACAACATGCAAAATTTAAAATGAATTATTTCGTTGAAATAAATCATTATTTTATTGTTATTTACCAAACATCAGATAGAAAAAAAATATTAGTAGCTGAAAAGAAAATTACATATGCATTCCCTTAATAAATAGTTGAATTATTAATATATGAGAAATAATTTTTGCAGTAGTTGTTTCTGCAACCGAATCTTTCTTGCGGATTTATAACGATATCATGGTGAAAGAGGAAACGCGAGCTTGCGAGCCAAAAGCGGATTTATAATAATTGCAAATGCGCGGCGAAAAAGCTCGAACGCCTACGCATGCGTGCAATGAACATGCTGCGCGACTTATATGCGCACAACAGAGATCGGAACGCGTTCCGCAACACGTGCACATCATCCCGGTGTCGTTGATTAATATTCGTTCGTTAAGAATTTTTCTTCCTTTTTACTTAATTCTTTCGTTTTCTTCCTGTATAATTTTAAACTATGTATCCACGGTAATTTGTGAATATTTGTGCTTCTCTGCTAGTGGATGGAAACATGTGAACGCATGTTCGTGAATGTTCGTTAAAACAGTTAATAATTTGAAATTTGTGTTCATATATAATATTAAAGTATAATATTCATGTATAATATGAAGAAGAAAGAATATAATCTTCAAAATTGTCATTCTGCTGGATCAACGACAGATATTTACAGATATGCCCAGATTTGATGTGGTGAGTAAATTTTTGCAGAATCAATTATATTATATTATATTAATTGAGATTCTAAACGATTCTTTCTTTCTTTGTATTTTTCACTTATTCTTCTTATACTATAATAAAAGTGCATTATATTAATACTTTTCTGAAAATATTTATATTATATATTGTATTTTTCGTGAATGAAATTAAGTTTTGTAAACATTTTATAAAATTATATTTTTAATACGTGGCTTAAAGTTATATGTCGTAGGAAGAGGAAAAAGAAAAGTAAAAAGAAAGTTAGGTTAGGTGAGCAATATTCTGGCTGTGAAGCGTATATCAATTTAATTAATATCATGTTTGAATTATAAATGAATAATCTCTTTGTTTTACTATGTATCCACAGTTTTTCACGAACTTATAATCTATAATGCTTAGTTAAAACAATATTCAAATGTGGGAATTGTTCGAAACTTTTTATTAGAGCAATTAATTTCTTTATTAAATTTTTCATAATCAAATTAGAAGAAATTATTTTATATATGTGAAAACAAGCTCTAATTATCAAATATTCGAAAAATAAAATATATAAAAAAAAATATATTTATAAATTTGAAACTTCTTTTTTTATATATTTTATATGTTTAGTTGTAAACGAAAAACGGAACTGGTTTCAATAAATGACTTTAATATTAGAGTTTTTTTCATCATTTCATCATTTCAATGATGGTTGATAATTTTATAGGCTTTTTTCATAAGATACATATATATTACTTGTCCTGTAAGTAGGTTTAATTCATTCTACTTTAAATTCCAGTCATAGGTCAGAGTTCAGTCGATTACAGTTTCTTTGATCATTGCGTCTACTGCGGAAAATGTTCTCACGAAACTGGTTCTACATATTTTATACGCTAGACTCCATTTTGGTTTTTGGATATTCTGTTTTAGTTAATCTAATTCAACGTATATATTTTTTATGCTTTTATAATTATAGAAATAAATTTACTATAGTAATTTCGATGATATATATGATATTATCTTTTTCAAAAGATAATAATAATTTCAAAATATGTTTTATTATTGATATTTTGCATTGTATGAATTAAACAAAAGATATTTTATTATTCATTCTATTTAATGTTTAAATTTAATTTTATATTTTTCATTTTGTTTTTATATACTTAATTTTTTATGAAGAATAGAATATTTTATAAAATATAAACTTTTAGATACAAAATCATAATAATAATTTAATAAATGAGAAATTATTTTTGGTTAAAAAATAAATTTGCAAATTATTGCATTTATTATATATTACGGAAATTCTTAAAAGAGTTCCTTTAGAAAATTAATATATGGCATGTATTATCAAGATACCAGGTGTTATTGTCCTTAATTTATTGTGAGGGGTTTCCGTCAGGTTGTAATTACCTGCATTTCAGACCCGCGTGCCATGTACTTGATGTTTACACAATTCAGATATGTATGCTACTAAAAATTCATTGTTTGTTTGTAATAGCCGACATTCTTTAAATCTTTTATAAATTTGGACCTGTCTTGAATATCATTTCACAACAAATTAAAATTCTAAAAACATTTCTCTTCTTGAATTTCATTCAATGATCAAGAAAGATAAATATTCATGGAAAACATATTTAATGTATATATATATATATATATATATATATTATTCAATGAAATATTTCATAATTCAATTTAATGATTGGCAATTAAAATCATAGATTCTTTCAATTTCATTAAATGACAAATCATTTTCAATAATTCCAAACAAAGTCTTTCAAAATGCATATAGCAAATTTATAAATGCATAATAATAGCCTCATCATTTAAGCTAAAACATACAAAAGTTATAATATCATCTTTAATTCCTATGAAATGATCAGAGTCCATCTAGTTGCTTCATCACAAAAGGAATGGAAATATTTGACTTCTGCCCTCGGTGTACAGCGAGAGACTGAGAACACCGAATAAGATAGAATGAGATAACGATAGGGGGCAGGATCCTCTGGCCGTCGTAGCTCGCGATATATTCACCGTGTGGACTCCCTCAAACACGTAACATACAGATGAACAAATACTTATGCGGGAACACAGGTATTGGAACTCACACCAGGTTGTCCAGTCGATGCCCGGTTGATGGTGGTGGTTCAGCCGTGCACGCACGTATATACCTGTGGCTCGCACGTGTTGTGCCAGGGCTTGACTTATGTGTGCAGCAGCTGCAGCGCAGCAGTGTCATTGACATCACGCGACGCACACTAGTTTCCACAAGGCAGGCGCGCTCGCTCACGAAGAAACTCACTGGCTCTTGT